TTATACCCATTCCAAGGAAAGGTGACCCAACAGGATGCTCAAACCATATAATGATATCAATTGATATGGCATGCAAGAAACATTTTGCTTAAGATCATCCAACAACAACTGCAGCAGTATTTTGACAGGGAACTGCCAGAAGTTCTGGCTGGATTCCTAAGAGGCCAGGAAACAAGGGGTTTTACTGCTCATGTCAGGGGCATCTAGGTTGAAAGCAGAGAATATAAGAAAGATGTTTGCTTCTGTTTCATTGTCTATGCAAAGGAATAACAGTCCACTGTGTAGACCATTATAAACTGTGGATAATCTTGAAAAGAACAGAAATTCAAGAACACTTCTTTAGGCTCATTTGGTACATAAATCAAGAGACAGTTGTGCGAACAGAACAAGGAAATGTGTATGGTCTAAAATCAGGAAAGGTGTGCACCAGGAAAGGTTGTACTCTCAGAATACTTGTTCGATCTGCATGCTGAACAAATCATCAGAGAAGTTGGATTCTAGGAAGAATGTGGCATCAGGATTGGAGGAAGGCTTATTAACAACTTGCGATATGCAAATGACACTACCTTGCTTGCTGAAAGTCAGGAATTGAAGCGCTTGCTGAAGATGGAAGATTGTAGTCTTCAGTGTGGATTACAACTCAATGTAAGGAAGTACAGTATCTGCACAACTGGACCAATAAGTAACATCATGATGAATGGAGAAAAGGTTGAAGTTGTCAGGGGTTTTGTCCTGCTTGGAACCTCAGACAATGTCCTTGAAAGCACCAGAGATCAAAAGACATATTGCATTAGATAAGTCTAATGGTCTTGCAGCACAAAATCTCTGCAGCATAATTAAGGGCAAGGATGTTACTTTGAGGAGTAAGATGTGCCAGGATATTCTCCATGGCTCATATGTATGTGAAAGTTGGGACATTGAATAAGGAAAACCTTAGAAGGCCTGATGCATGTGAACTGTGGTGCTGGAGAATACTGACAAGCCAAACTGATGTGTTGGAAGAAGTAAAACCAGAGTGCTCCTTAGAGACAAAGATGCCAAGACTTCATCTAACATATTGTCAGGAGAGACCAGGCCAGGGAGAAGACACCATGTTTGGTAAAGGGAAGGATGACAAACAAGAGAAAGGCTACGAGAGGGACTGACACAGTGACTGCATCAATGGGCTCAGGCATAGGAACAATTGTGTGGATGGCACAGGATCATGCAGTGTTGTTGTTTTGCACAGAGCCACTTCTAGGTCAGAGCCAACTAGATGGCATCTAACAACAAACCCTATCAAGGAGAGGGAAGAGGCAGTCTGCCCTCAAGCATTTGCCTGGGGGAAGCCTAAGATAGAAACTGAGGTACTAAAGTAGCTTGAATTTGATGCCAGAGGGCCTCAGAACCAACCTTGTCAACTCCTCTAATCAGCGTTTATTTACATAGCCCAACCTAAGTTCTACTTTAGTAATTCAGCCTGCTATTGTGATTAACTGATCTGCTACCATTCAAGATGCTGAGACCAGTGTTCTTTATTTACAAGTCTTACTTACGTAGCCTACTGGCTGTGAACCCTTTGGATACAGTTGTGAATGGTCTTTCTGATCCGGATGATCCCCCCCCCCCCTAGTCTTCTCTTTATCCTGATTAAGACTTAATAAATGGCTGTTCATAACCTATATTTGAATTTGGGACCTCTTTTTCTTTTCCTTTAGAACACTGTTTAAATACACATTTACTATCTTGAAAACCCTATGGAGCAATTATCATCTGTCCTACAAAGTTGTGATAAGTTGGAATTGACTCCTGACAATGGATTTTACTAAGAACATAACTACGAAAAACTAAAAAAAGGGAGAGGGAGTCAGGAAGGGAAACAAACAATCAAGTGTGCATATTTGTTGAGTTGTTTTTCTAAGGGATGATTCACCGGTGCACCTCTTCTCTTGTGACCAAAGATATAAAGAGGATATCACTAGGACATCAAGGCACATTCTCACTGCAACCTAACTGACCCAAGGAGAATTTCTCTAATAAACTGGCCCATACTTACCCTCTACATGAATAGTAACCAACTCTTTAAAACTAATTTTAAATTACCTCAAGGATTTAAAATTCTTTAAACATTTAAAGCTTAAGCTTTTAAGAAATACTTCTTGATTCCCGATTCACGCTAGCAGAGAGGATTAGGTCCTTCTTTGCATTACCCCCCCCCCCCCACTCCAGGTGCCTTTTTCACATCACATACTACCATGTTATACTATCTCCAGTTACATGATTTTCTGCAAGCTATGCAACCCACTACTGTGTTACCTTCCCTTGATTGCTGTGACAGTAGCTGCACATATAACTTATTTGCGCGGGTATATTTTAATTGAAAAACAAGTGAATATTCACAAGTGGACAGAGATGAAGCAAGAAGTTTATGTACTTTCAAGTGCCTGAGGGGGAAAAAAGTATTTTACTCAGCAGAAAAAGTTCCAAGTGGAAAGGAAATTCAAGTCATCCATACATAAAGGTTAGGTATGTTTTGTTCAAGAATAACATTTTTAGAAACAAAACAAAAAAAGGATAACTTTTTACTAAAGCATATATATATGTGTATATATATATATAGAGAGAGAGAGAGAGAGAGAGAGAAATAGTTTTAGTAACCAATCATTGATTATTACCTACAGAGTATGTGTACATGCTTTTACATTGAATAAATGGTTTATCGGTATTCATTACACAATTGCTGTATGTGGGAACAGTAGCCAATAATAAATTCAACTCTCTTTTCAGACCAACTATCAATCTCTAGATTATAGCAAACCTGGAATATTGCATTCTAATCTCTAAATTTGGAATCAGAAATGTTTATAGAAATAAATATGAGGAATCTGATAAGAAGCTAAAATATGTTACAGAAAATAGCTATGAAGCCCTAGCAAAAGGCTCCTTGGGGGGTGGGGAGAGACTCCTTAGTTTCTCATCATCTATAAACAGCTTCACAAATCATTGGGAAAATCAGCACAGAGGCAAACAACAACCTGCGTGCCCCACCCCCATGCTTGGCGTCAACCACTCCTGAGAAAGACCAAGCAGCACTACTTGTGGAAGATCACACCAAAGCCTGACGCTTGTATGCAGGCCTTGGTTCCGGCTCAGTTTTCTGGTTCGGACTGGTCAAGTTATTGCTTCCTGCAGAATCTTCACTAGTGAATGTAATCGAGTGTATGTCTGCAGTCGTTTCTGTGAGGGGCACGTTGTGAATATCCATCTCAGATGCATTTACTATGGCTTTTGTTTTTAAGAGATAGCGTACCATTTTGTCACTGGAAAGGCAAAAGTGACCTCTCAAGGCAGCAAAAATCGCATGGGTAGAATAGCAATGGAAACCAATGGCAACCCCACAGGAGCCACAGAATAAAAGGTTGTAAATACTCAGCCCCCTTGGTGGTCCACGGGAGGATGGGAAATGTGAGGATGGGAAACGAGAGGGCAGGAGAGAGCCAAAGCATATATATATTTTAAGACTCAAGTCAACACACACAAGCCAAACCAATCTAAAGCAATTTGGTATGTCAAATATTAGCAGAAGAGCCTGCATTTTAAAGCTAGGGTTTACACTTTTCTTTCATTTAAAAAATCTAATAATTTTGTATGTATTCTTTATTCTCCAATGTAATTCGTCATCTTTTCTAGATGAAGTGCTCACAACAGAGGATGAAAAGTATTCCAAAATGCCATTTATGGTTTTCTAGGTGTTAAGATTAAATAGCTTTTCTCCATACAAAGATTCAGAAATAAGTACCTTCCACTCCCATTTGAAACTGATACAATTGCTAAGTATTAAGAATGCACTTTGTATATAGGTGAGATAAAGTGGGTATATTTTTTTGTATCATGAAATTATTCTTGCAAATCACTCATATACTAGGTCTTGGGTATTTGCAAGCTCAAAAATGTATCTTACGCTTCTTCTGCCATTGGAGCTACAACACCCTACTCTGAGTGGTGGAGGTTACCGGGAAGAAAAGGATAATGGGAAACTTAGAGAACTCTGTCTTGCTTCAACCTGTGCCTCAGGCAGATCAGTACCCTCACTTGGTAGAACTCCACTGTGGTCAACTGATTCTTATCCAGGAAATAAAACAATCTAACTTGGAGTGTTTGGTAATTAATGATCTGCATTTCCACTTGCATTTTAACAACCACTCCATAACCCCTGCTGATAAGTCAAATCTGACTCATTGGGACTCTATATAAGACACAGAACTGCTCCATGAGTTCTTGAGACTTTAAATGTTTATGGGTACAGCTGGTGAAAGAAACAAACAAACAAATAGAACTATTAGGTAAAAGTGCAGATGCAGAAAATCCAATTGTCTGCATTTTAATGAAAATGAAATCTCAAGAGTTACCAAAGCCTTAACTCGATTACTTAAAGGGGGTATGATTTTTAAAACAGTGGGTGGATTAGGTACAAGCATCTGTACCACAAATCAGTGTATTTGGCTGGCTACATTAGCACTTTTTGTCATCCACTGTGTATGGAAAATATGGGAGGAGTCAGGATCACATTATAAAGTTTCTGCTGAGCTGAAAAAAACAAAGCATTGGAAAAAACCAAACAAAACAACAATTTAGTTGGACCCAGGATATCCAGCCATGAAAAAGGATAATCTTCATAACAGAACACATAAAAGCCAGGAAGTTCATAAAGTATAAAGAAAGGGCCTGCTGTTTACCATTTATATGACAGCAAATCTCCCATTGAGGGTGTTCCATAAATTCTACCTACTTAAGACGACAAGTTTTAAACTAAGTACAATGGGGAAAATAGTGTATGTTTATATATATACATATATGTATATAAACAGGAGGTGCGGGCGTAGGGCGGGAGTGGTCAAGAGAATACTAAAGGTGAAATGCCATGCTGAATTGACCCGATTTGGGGGGAACCAACTGCTTGGGAAGGTGAATTCTGAAATAACGAGTGAGTGATGAACCCAAGAAGGGGCTTAGCCACTTACCCAGAGACTTAATTAATGAGAATGGGTCGCAGGTTTCCACAGGTCGTTCCACTGCCAGAAAGTCAGTCGTGAACCTTGGGTCCCTTTTTTCACTAGTCAACAGTCACCCTCACCTACACGCGGAGTACATATTTGGCACTCAACAAACCTTGATTGATTGAAAACCGACCTTACTCATACTGGTGCCCAACCCCGGAGTTAGAGCCCCACAAGTTACCTCCAAAAAAGTACCCTACGACCTAAACTCGATCGAGCCGGGAAAGCCGACTCGGGGAAGAAAACTCGGGCTCAGGGGACTGAACCGCGGCTGGCTGGCTTCGGCCTCCACAAGGAGGGGCACGAAGGGCCGCAGACCCATAGCCTCCCACCCGGGGCGCTGAAAGTTCCTGGGGGCCGGGGGGTGCGGGGTGGAGGGGGGAATGACACACCACCCCTTTTAAAGTTCGTACCTGCGAGGCTGCGGCACAGAGAAGGGCTCGGGCCTCTCATTACGGAGGCCGGGGCCTGGGGCCGGCCGGCCGCGCCTCCTGACTGAGGGCTGGGAGCTCCGGGGCTGCAGTGACAGCGCGGGTCACCCAGAGATACCTCACGTCACGGCAGGTTCCAGGCCCGCAGGCCCGGGCGTTTCGCTCCCGGAAATGCGCGCGCTGTGTCCCTCACGTCGACTGGCACTCCTCCCGCCGCCTCTCAGAGTTCAGGCGACCGCTCCTGCCTTAAGCCCAGCAGCCGGCCCCTTCCCGGCGCAGCCATCCTCACAGTTTGTTTTCATCCGCTTCGGTGAAGGCGTGGGGGGAGGGGGGAGGGAAGAGCGCTGTGAGGGGGATCGTGCTGCTTAATCTCAGCCGCACTTTCGCTACACACGCCACATCCATTTAGTTTTTTTTGTTCCTCGAAATATCCATAAAAGTTGATGCCCTTCCTATTTAATTCTTCCAACGGAGTTGTTACAGAGTCCTAAGGAAAACTAAAATGGTAATAAAGAATTATTTGAGCGAGTGGGGAATCTTGAGGTCGTGTGTGGAATATGCGGATTAGAAATCGCAGGTCGCGGTGGCGGAGGCAGTGAGGACGCGGCGGGGGCGGGCGCTGACGCAAGGGGGCGGTGCAGCTCCTGAGCGCCGTGGCGGCCTGTGCGCGGGTGCCGGTTCCGGGGGAGGGTCCAACGAGGCTGTGTGGGTGGGTGGGGGACTGCTGCTGGTAAGCAGGCAGCCGCGGAGAGGTGGGTGCTGGGGCTTGGAGGATTTTGTCCGGCTCACTTAGACTTTCTAAGCCACTTCGACAATTCGATAGATTTAAGGCTTCCTGGCAAAGCGGCGAAGTCATCTCTTTCGCGCTTCCTCCTAAGCTGCCCGGTCTCTTTTGCTAAACCCTAGCCTCACGATCTAGGTTTCTTGCGGGTGACGGGAAAGCCTGGGTGATGGCACACAGTGTCCACCAAGCTGGGTCATAGGCGTTTTGGGCTCCCTTGGTTTGAGCGCCCTCCACTTCCGTCCCCGTGCGTATCCGGTGGAGCTGGAGCCAGAGGGCTCTGAGTAACGAAACTTTTGGTGACTAATCCTTCCTAGCCAGGTTATGATTTAAGTCAGCTACTTTGTGGCCTGTGTAGTTGGAAGCAGACCTCTTTGGCTTTGTACATAGTTATGCCATCGCCTCTATTAATCTTTTTTTTTTTTTTATTTTTTTTTTTTATTTTTTTTTTAACCTCTATTAATCTTTTGCTGTTCTCAGTTGAAATGCCAGGCATTAAACGAACCACTGAGCTTGAACAACCATTAACTCTCAAGCCAGAGCAAGCCTATCGCACAGTCATGAGTTCGTGGAGAGAAGCCCAGAGTTACAGGCACGGCGCCTTTTTGCTTGAACGGAATGACAGTGTGCAGAAACACAGCTGGTACAGCCTTTGAGTCACGTCTTCCAGTCCTTGGTAGGTTTCTAACGTTGTCTTTTTTTAACCTTTGCAGAGAGAAGATTAGAAATGCCAGAACGAATGTAACTGATGATTAACTCTTGAATCCAGGCCCTTTTAAAAAATACCCCTTTGCACCACTAACTGCATTTTGAAGAGTTCAGAATACGTAGAAGGTAGGAGAGCCAGCATTCAAATTGACTATGGCCATACCAATCACAGTGCTTGACTGTGACCTCCTGCTCTATGGCAGAGGTCACCGGACACTGGACCGCTTTAAGTTGGATGATGTCACTGATGAATACTTGATGTCCATGTATGGCTTTCCACGACAGTTCATCTATTACTTAGTCGAGCTCTTGGGGCCTAGTCTTTGTAGACCTACCCAGCGATCCAGGGCAATTAGCCCAGAGACACAGATCCTTGCAGCCTTGGGCTTTTATACCTCAGGTTCCTTCCAGACTCGCATGGGAGATGCTATTGGGATCAGTCAGGCCTCTATGAGTCGCTGTGTTGCCAATGTCACTGAAGCGCTTGTGGAAAGAGCCTCCCAGTTCATTCACTTCCCAGCTGACGAAGCCTCCAAGCAGGCTCTGAAGGATGAATTCTACGGGTTGGCGGGCATGCCAGGAGTGATAGGAGTGCTCGATTGTATCCATGTGGCAATCAAGGCACCAAATGCTGAAGACCTCTCCTATGTGAACCGCAAAGGCCTGCATTCTTTGAACTGCCTGCTAGTGTGCAACCTCAGAGGGTCGCTCATGACTGTGGAGACCAACTGGCCAGGCAGCCTACAGGACTGTGCTGTGCTGCAGCGGTCATCTCTGTGCAGCCAGTTTGAAGCTGGGCTGCACAAAGATAGCTGGCTACTAGGTAAGTTTACAGGTGCAAACGTTTCATTCCCTAGCCAGAGAAACATTACAGGGCCAAATAGAAAGAAAAGTAAAAGCTTGTGGGCTGGGGCCTGACTTGATAGCCTCTGACAGGCTTGTCCCTTTTTGTGAGACCTCAGGTAAGTCACTAGAACTCTCTGTACCCTAATTTTTTATCATAGGTAAACTTGCTGCCATCAAGTCAACCCCGCTATAGGGCAGAGTAGAATTTACCATTTTAGGCTTCTGAGCCTATAAAACTCACAGGAGCAGAAAGCCTCATCTTTTTCCTGTGGAGCAGCTGGTGGTTTCGAACTGCTGACCTTGTGGTTAACAGCCCACCATGTCACCAAGGCTCTGTCTAGTATGTTTAGTTATCGCAGGAAAAACTGGTGGAAATCATGTCAGCCGCAGTCATGTCTGTCAATGTTCATTATGAAGTACTGTTCACATACGAGAGGGTTTCAAAAATTCATTAAAAAAACCACATACATAAATGTATCATTTTTATCATTGATGACTGCCACCGTGATATCTATGAAAACAAGAGTAGGCAGTGTATTTATGCAGATATTGTTACCAGATGTCATTTCACAGAACTACCTGAGTCACAGACAAACAGATTTGATAGATGAGTTGGAAAACCTGGACCAGAACTGGGAACGTCAACCCATTCAGTATCGAATGGTGTGAACTGAGATGATTGTACAGCAGTGAGCAACTCACTCTAGTTAGGTAGCCCCTTTGGCTGGTAGCTTAGTTTTCTTGTATTTTAAAGCGTGCGTGATGGAAGGAGTCCTGGTGATATACACTGGGTTAAGTGTCGACTGCTCACTGAAAAGGGTCACCACCAGCTGCTCTCAAAGAAAGATGTACAGGGGCTCAAGTGGGAAGAGATGCTTTGAAAATGATGATGGCAGCCGATGTGAAAATGTGCCTGACACACTGGATGAATGTATGGATTGTGATAAGAGATGAAAAGAGTCCCCAATAAAAGTATTTCATAAAAGAAAGAAAGAAAGATGTGGCAGTCTGCTTCCGTAAAGATTTATAACCTAGGAAACCGTAAGGAGCAGTTCTGCTCTGTCCTTTGGGGTCCCTATGAGTCAGAATGGACTTTATGGCTGTGGATTTGGCTTGGAATCCTAGCTCCACTGCACTTGCTCTAAGTGCGGTGGTTCGCAACCTTCCCAATGCCGTGGCCCTTTAATACAGTTCCTCATGTTGTGGTGACCCTGTGTGTGGGCGTATCTGCTTGTGGGTGGACTCGCCTGGAGACAGATAGAGGAGCAGTGTCTCGGTTCCTAAGACCATTGGAAATATGGGCTTAGATGACCCCTGGGAAAGGGTCATTTGACCCTCCAAAGGGGTCCCGACCCCATGGTTGAGAACCGCTGTGGACCTAGCACAATGCTAACACAGAGCAGACAGATACCCATGAAACATTTCTCTTTCTCATACTTCCTGGTATGTTCAAGAGAACTTGTCCTGACTGCGCATGGGAAGGACTGTTGTCTGTGATCAGTGTGGAGCTGTGCGGGTGCTCGTGTGTCATAGCTGGAGACTTACTAACTCTCCTGGGTTCTATACATCACCAGTGCCAAGACAGAGACCCTGGATTCTGAATTGACTTCCTGTTTTGCCAATATCACCTGCAGAGCATTTTTCTACCCTATTGGATCTTCGTTTAAATCCCACCTGGTGCTTACTTGGAACTTTAAAATTCCATTCCCACACCACTCGCACTAAGAAGGAAAAAAGAAGAAAGAAGAAGAAGAAAAGAAGTGAAGAGAATAAAAGCGCATTTTGCAAGTGTCTAAGCTAGTTGCGACTTCTGCAGTTGTGGGTACCAAGCCGATCACTCCACTTTGTACCCAGGCAATAGATCTTCACTTTGTACCCAGGCAATAAAGCCAGCTACCACTGAGCACTTAGGATCTATTAGAGAACGTTGAAAGCACTTGACATGCGTTATCTCTTTCAAGCCTTACAAAATCTCCTTAACCGTTAAATACTCACATGATCCACATTTTTACTGAGGAAAAAACTGCAGCCCAGAAAAGTTAAAGTCACATGTTCAAGACCAGCAGCTCTAAACCTGTGGGTCGCAACCCCTTTGGGGGTTGAAGGACCCTTTCACAGGGGTTGCCGATTCATAACAGTAACAAAATGAGTTATGAAGTAGCAACGGAAATAATTTTGTGATTGGAGTGTCACCACCACATGAACTGTATTAAAGGGTCGTGGTATTGGGAAGGTTGAGAACCACTGCTCAAGGCCATTTAGCTAGGGAACGGTAAAGCCAAAACGAATCACGGTGTTATGTTTTGTAAATGAGCTATTGAGCTGGGCTCCTGAACCTTTGTCAGTGGTGACGTTGGTTGCTATGGACGAAAGTGCCTATCAAGAAACCTCCTCTTGTAATGATCCATAAGCTAGACTGGGTAGTTTTGTGGGGTTTTGTTGTTGTTGTCGTCAGTTTGGGTAAAAGCTTACAGAGCAGGCTGGTTTCCTGTTCAACAATTCATGACGTTGATGGCAGACTTCACAGTGGAACAGCACTCTTCCAATATCCCGCCTACATTTACTGTTTCCATTTGTCTTTCTTTCCTGCCTTCTGAGCCTCACTGGGCACGTGCTGCCCTTTGGTCTTCTATGGTTGGTTGTTCTAGGCCAGTGGTTCTCAACCTTCCTAATGCCGTGACCCTTTCATACAGTTCCTCATGTTGTGGTGACCCCACCCACCCATAAAATTCTTTTCATTGCTACTTATAACTAATTTTGCTACTGTTGTGAATCAGGCGACCCCTGTGAAAGGATCATTCAACCCCCAAAGGGGTCGAAACTCACAGGTTGAGAACCACTGGTTTACAGGCTCTGGTTGAAAATAATTAAGAACTTTGGACAGGGGTGAGGGTGAGGGTGGGGGGAGACTTTTTTAAGTCCTTTTTTTGTGTGTTTGTTTTTTTTAAAGAGTGCCCCCCCTCCCCCATCTACCATGACCCCAATTCTGCCTTGCAAACCTGGTTAGACCAGAGGACGCACAGCGGTACAGATGGGAATTGGAAACGCAGGGAATCTAGGACAGATGAACCACTCAGGACCAGGGGTGACAGTGGCGATACCAGGAGGGAAGGGGGGTGTAGAAAGGGGGAATTTATCACAGGGAGCTACATATAACCTCCTCTCTGGGGGACGGGCAGCAGAGGGGTGGGTGAAGGGAGATGCCGGGCAGTGTAATATAAGATATAATAATAATTTATAAATTATCAAGGGTTCATGGGTGAGGGGGGCGGGGAGGGAGAGGGAGGGGGGAAAAAGGGAAATGAGCTGATTCCGGGAACCCAGGAGGAAAGCGAATATTGGGAATAATGAGGGCAACCAATGTATAGATGTGCTTTACACAATTGATCTATGTATTGTGATGAATTGTATTAGCCCCAATAAATTGATTTTAAAAAAATAATAATAAAGAGTGGAAGTGGAGCGATGAATAGTTTGCATGAACTGTGCAGAAAGACTGGTTAAAAGACCCCAGAGTCAGTATAAAGTTTTAGAAGCTTTCCAGACCCAAAGAGTTATCTGGGGAACTTACTTAAAATATGCATTACTGGGCCCCACTCAAGTGTAAAGAGTGAGATTCTTCAAAGGGAGAACTTAGACACCCATTTTCAGCAGGTGTTCTCAGTGATTCACCTAGCAAACACCCTTGGAAAATACTGGTGTCTACAGGCCATGTGGCTAGTGGGGCAATGTGGCAAAGATTGGCAAGAGCATGAGAAAAGATGCTGGAACGTGGAGGAGGGAGGGAGAGAGACAGGATGAGTAATGATATAACACCATGGAATTTGTGGAATATGAGGGTAGGTGAGAAGCCAAACCCAGTCTTAGTTGTGATTTTGCATCCAGGCCAGCGGTTCTCAACCTGTTGGTGGCAACCCCTTTGGGGGTCGAATGACCCTTTCACAGGGGTCGCCCGATTCATAACAAGAGCAAAATGACAGTGATGAAGGAGCAATGAAAATAATTTTGTTTAAAAATTTTTCTTAATTAAATTTTTAAAAATGATGGCAACATATGAGCATATATACAAATATGCTTGATACAATGAATGTATGTATGGATTGTGATAAGAGCTGCAAGAGTCTTCAATAAAATGACATAAAAAACTAATTTTATGGCTGGGAGGTCACCACAACACGAGGAACTGTATTAAAGGGTCGAGAAGGGTGAGAACCACTGCTCTAGGCCTTTATCGCTTCCTGTCCTCATTTGCATGTCCCTCTCCAGAAGGCATTGCCTAATTGCACTTGCTCTGGCAGAGACAGTTCAAGCCGACTTCTTGTTTCTTCAGCCCTCAGCCTAGGCCTGTTAAGCAGATTTGGGTAAGATCTGCCAGTATGCCTTCTGGGTGGTTGATCATGGCAGCGATTGTAATCTGGTTAACAATTCTGATCCTAATCCTCTTCAAGGGCCTGCCTTCCACTGGTGCTTTAATCACACCCAGTTGGTGTTGACACAGCAATTTGAACTAGCTTGTTCTGTGTGTTTGTCTTCATACTATTTCTTAGGGAAACCTTAATATCAGTTTAGCATCTCCATTTTGTCGGATGTGCGTCTCAACTCTTTTTTACAGCACTGTAACATCTCTGTAGTCACCCTGAGTCTGAAGGTAGCATTTCCTGCCTAGCCCCTTCCTTAGGCTGACATAGCAAGGGATAGCCAGGAGATCTTGTGGTCTTCTCATTTGTAAGATTGTTCATTAGGAGCAAATCTTGCAAAGCTGGGTGGAGGATAGTAGGAAGTAATAGATTTAAAGTGTCTAGCTTCCCGCCTGCTACGTAACAGGTGTTCAATAAATTATAGAGATTATTTTTCTATTAGCATTTACAACATGAGGACTAGTGGAGTTTGGATTAATTAACACTTTCTAGAACTTATTTTGAGCAGTTCAGAGCTTTACTTTTATGTGAAATTATTTACCACCTGCACACTGTCCATACCCAACAAAGATGTCATTAGCACCATTTTCTCTTGGGAGGTCTGAGTGCACTGAGGTTAAAACCCACCCTCAAGGTGACCCAGTGAGCCAGGGATGAAGTTAGGTGGTGGTTTCTAGGATGGGAATGAAAACTGGACCAGCTCCCTCTACCAACTTTGGTGTGCAGACAGGACTTGGGCTGCTGAGAAAGGGAGTGGGAGGATTTAGTTTGATAAAGATAACATCCATTTCTTACAATGCAGTCATGAGAAGGGGTGGGCACTATTAGAAAATATAGGTTGTCTTTATGGAGAGGGGGGCAAATAAAGGCAACATAAAAATTAGAGATTTTATCGACAGCGATTTCTTAGTATTTAAAGGTAGTCCACTTCCTAGAAATGTAAGTTCCTGAACAAAAGAGCCCTCTATGTTGAGAACAGTGCCTGCATACTCGGGGCATTCTGTGACTCTTCACCAAAATAGCTGGTGGATCAGGAGCACAGCAGTTGTGTAAGTTGGTCTTCCTGGGGCCTGTCTGTCTCAGCTTGCCCAAAGGTTATGCCTCTGTGTGAGTCATGACAATGAAACATTATAGAAACATTGTACTGATGTATTAGGACATCGCACCCCAGTTTGTTTGGTGTGTGTGTGTGTTGTGCCGTATTGTTTTTGTTTGTGTTTTTGATGATTTAGAAGAGTCTTTATTCGGTTATCACGGGATGCTAGAATCTAAAGGTTGCAGTCCTGAGTGGACATTTCAGTCCTTTTTCTTAAAAATCATTTTAGTGGGGGCTCATACAGCTCTTAGCACAATCCATACATACATCAATTGTGTAAAGCACATTTGTACACTCATTGCCCTCATCGTTCTCAAGACATTTGCTCTCCACCTAAGCCCCTGGCATCAGTCACTTTAAGGAAATGCCTTGTGTGTTTTCATTAAATACCTGCCGATTTAATTTCGTTATGGCTCACTCTTCTGATTTGCCTCACTGAACCAACTCCTCGGCTAGAGAAAGCGAGTGGCTGTACCACCCAGGAAGTCAGGACAGGTAAGGCCTGATCCCGGTGACAAAGGCTATGACTCCTGCCTCATCCTTCCATCCACGGGGAGGATAAATGATCGTGTGTGAAGCATCCAACCTCCCCGCATGGTACCCTCATCTTGGAAATGTTAATGGTACAGTTAGTCATGCTCCACACAAGGGTTTGAGATCTCCTGGCAAAATTTCTTACTCTCTCTTGTCCCCACTCCTTAGGGATTTTGAAGATTAGCTTGCTTAGTGATCATTTTTCACTAAGCCTTTTTTAAAAAAAAATCATTTTATTGGGGGTTCACACAACTCTTATCACAATTTATACATACAACAAATGCACATAAAGAGTAGTATCTGAATTTTAAAAATTCCACCACCTTCCCCCCCACCCCCCACTGCTGTCTTTACTTTCTTCCTTTATTCTTTCAGACTTGGCTTTCTTTAGGGATGAACTTTTTTTTAGGGATGAACTTTTTTGTCTCTATTCGTGGGTAAGACTTGGGTCGTTTATGTGTGTGTGTATGTTCAGAACACTGGCATACTTTCCTTTTTTTTCCCCCATACTTTCCTTTTACCACAGCATTTTCTTGACTGCTCTTGTGTGTCTTGGCTCCCTATAGAGTTTTTGTGGGGTAAGGAATGAACCTTTTTACCCAAGTAATTTGCTCTTTGGCTTTGGTTATTGCAGCAAGACCTATAAAACCTTGGGTTGGGCACGAGATCACACCTGAGGGTTTATGATAATGAGCTCCGCTTGAGTGGGAGCTGGCCAGGCCAGAAAGACCCACCTTGTGATTTCAGCTGACCCCAGGGGAAGGGAGCATGAGTCTGTCATACGCTTACATCATGAGGCCCGAGTAAAGGTTATGGGCAAGGAAGTTCCCCGGGCTCCCTGGTTGGTGAAAAACTTAGATGCATGTGGGAGCGTAGCATGACTCCTTGCTATCCTTGGTCAGGATATAGACCCTTCCCAAACTTCACCCTATGCATCTCCACACGTCTATCCTTTTTGCTATCATAAAGCTAATAGTAAGCACAGTGGTTGCCACAAGTTTTATCAGTGACTTATCAAACCTGTTAAGTCATGGGAACTGATTACATCAGGATCTACGTATAACCTCCTCCCTGGGGGATGGACAACAGGAAAGTGGGCAAAGGGAGACGTCGGACAGTGTAAGATATGACAAAATAATAATAATTTATAAATTATCAAGGGTTCGTGAGGTGGAAGGCAGGGAGGGAGGAGAAAAATGAGCAAATACCAAGAGCTCAAGTAAAAAGCAAATGTTTTGAGAATGATGATGGCAACAAATGTGCTTGACACAATGGATGTATGTATGGATTGTGATAAGAGTTGTTCGAGCACCCAATAAAATGATTAAAAACAAAAACCAAAACCCTATTAAATCCTGTTTTCAAAACCCAACAGCAAACTCACAGCCATTGAGTTGATTCCAAATCACAGCAGCCCTATAACTTCTGGGGTCTCTATACATTATTTTGAATTTGGGGTCTCTTTTCCCCCTTAGATTACCTTGAACTTGTAAGGTCTAAACCAGCGCTTGGTGGCCAGGCTCAGAGAAAGGAGTTCTGCCTGTGCCGCATCGTTGAATTGCAACAATTCAGTTGAGTAAAGTATTCATTGGGTTTTCACACACGCTGGTGGGTTAGGCGTGCGCCAACTAACCCAAATGTCTACAGTCCGATCCCACCACATGGTCTGTGGGAGAAAGATGCTCTCTGCTCCCATTAAAGATTTACAGCCTCTGAAACCCACAGGGCACTTCTCCTCTCTTCTATCGGCTCGCTGAGTAAGAACGGACTCGGTGCCACTGGGTTAGTGGCTTTGGTGTCTGAGAAGTGACGCTGTGGTGGATCGTCTGTGTTTCCCAGTCCACTCTCAGTATGTGCGTTTCTAGCTCCGCTGCATGTTGGTATCCCACTTGATAATCATTTGTCCTTTCTCTGGGCCTTCCCCACAGGTGACAGTTCCTTCTTCCTCCGCACCTGGCTCATGACCCCACTTCACATTCCTAAAACACCAGCCGAATATCGCTACAATATGGCCCATTCTGCCACTCACAGTGTGATTGAGAAGACTTACCGGACCCTCTGCTCCCACTTCCGCTGCCTGGATGGCTCCCAGGGGGCCCTGCAGTACTCGCCCGAGAAGTCCAGCCACATCATCTTGGCTTGCTGCGTGCTCCACAACATCTCCCTGGAGCACGGGATGTATGTGTGGGCTTCCCCACTGACGGGCCCCGGGGAACAGCCCCCAGAGGACGAGTATGAGCACCTGGAATCACTGGACTTAGAGGCTGACCAGATCCGCCAGGAGCTGCTGCTCACTCACTTCAGTAATGTGGAAGATGGGGAGAAGGGAGACTTTCCAGAAGTTGTGACAAACTTTCACCCTCACCACCACCTACACAGCTCCATCATCTAGCACGACCGAGTGTGGGGACTCTTGTCATACACTAACATTTAATTCGAGTTTTAGGAGGAGTGGGCTGTGCCAGAATGTCTGGATTCATTTGTAAATGTATTAGCTAGCCCCCAACTAAGACTACAGTTCCCTGCCATGCAGTGGACTTCAGGTTGGGCACTACCCATCAGAAAGCTCACTGGCCAAAAACATTTATGATTATGCCCACAAAATCAAGTAGAAGGGAAAGCAGCATATAGTTAAAACCTTTTTCTTTTAATGTTCTGTTCGTTCTTGCAAATGAAAACCATATTTGTCTTGAATTATATGGACAGTATTTTCATTTTTGTACTTTGTTGCCCATATGGTATGTTATAATCAAAGACAAATGTGAAGAGTCCATTTAAGTTGGCAAATGACCTTTTTGACAGTACGTGGCTGCCACACAAAGTTTGAAGCTCTGTTTTGAAGTGAAGGTTAGGGCTTATCTGAGACCTCCATCTTTAGCCTGTCTGCAATAATTGCACTGTGATTTTGGCTTGATTCCTAGGGAGAAGGTCTAGTCTCCAACCTCCTGTTTGCAACTTGGAGTAGGAACCAAAGACTGAGTTCAAAACCCCAATCAGCTTAAGAAAGATGATTCAAATCATATAGATATAGATAAAATAGCAAGTTTACCCTTTACAAGGGATCTTAAAGTCCCAAATTGGTTAATGGGCAAATGAGACTCACTCAGGGATAGACAATTTACATCTGAATCAATCTTATTTCTTATGATCACCACATTAGAATGTCTCTTTAGCCATTCTAGTTCGGAATTCCTAGTCCAGAAGAGAGAGGGGAAAAAGAGGTGGATGAAAGAATTTAAAGGAAGAGGTCAAAGTAATAGTTTCTTGGTATGAAAAGACCTCTGGAGTTAGGCCCTACTCGGATCTCTTGTGTACTTGTATGAAATGACGCACAAACTTTCCCAAGAAATAAGTAATCCCCCACTGAGTCTTGTTCTAAAATTACATTGGTATAAAAATAACCCAATTGGAATAATGAAAGTGTGAATTAAGTTCACACATTGGTGCCTCTGCTACAAAGAAAGGGAGACTTTCCTGAGGATTGTCTTGTCTCCGGTTTCACGGCCGCCCACCACGTGATACCTCTGAACTGGCCCCTCGGATCATTTCCTACCTGCTGTCGGCAGTGCTAATCCAGTGATTTTCAAAGCAAAGAAATGAACAGCTGATGACAGCAGAAATTTGGAAATAAATGGAGGGTGACTCATCCTCTGGATTAAAAACAACGATGGATGATTATCTGCTGTTTATTTCTTACTCCAAATGCTGTTTCCCATCCTCCTCCTCTGCAGAGAGGGGGTCCATTTGGCAGGAGGTTGAGTTTAACGTGTACGTTGGCGCCATCGAGTCTTCCCCTCTCATTTGTAAGGGTGACATGGCGTCTTAAGCTTGCTTTGCCTCCCTCATAGGGACATTGTCTCACATCACACCATCTCTCTTTTTTAAGCTACCCAAGGTGGGGTCCCCCACACACATTTTTTTAAACTTCTTATTGTGAATTCTGTGGGGACTTGCATATCAGACCATCAATTGTGCATTCAACAACTTATCAGACCTCCTGATGGATGACTGGGCCTGTTCCCCATACTCCCCTCCTCCCTCACCCCCGGCTCTTCCCTTTCACTCCAGTGAGCACCTGTCTGCCCTTGAATCTGTTGTCAGCCCCCAGGAAGTTTTAGTTCTATTCTGTGTCTTGCATCAGGAACACATGTCATCGGTGTATTCGAAGTGGCAAGGTGGGGCGCGATCATGGAAAATGCCTACCCCTTCAGCCTTCAATCACAACACTAAGGACCAATGAGGATTTTTGTCCCCTTACCATCTAACGCACTAACTGGTGACACGTCTGAGTGGGAGGCACAGTCTCGGCAAGCTCTCAGAAGCAATGTCAGTTCTATTATGTGCACACTAAAGAGTTCTAAGTGCTGGACTAACTGAACACTGACTGGCAGTATTTTTCCTTGGGAGCATTTCATTTCCTAAGAATTCCTTGGGATAATGGTTCAAATCTATAACGGTAGCCTCCTTTTGGCCGGGAACGATATGTGTGGGGTGCATGTCGGGGTGGGGGGGGGGGAGAAGGGCTGCAAAAACAGGTACCTACACTTCATCCTGGATTATGGGTCATAGTATAAAAGTTCTTAATTACTAGGGGTGCTAAGTTTGGTGGGGGTTTTTTTCCTGAAAAGGGGGCGGTAAGCTAAGTTTGGGAACATGCCTAGATCATCAAAATGTTCATAGAGATCATTAATAAAGGCTACCACTGGATGGACATTAACCCACTATAAATAATTCCATGGAAAGAAGAGCCAGTGGTTTCCGGCTCTTCTGGAATCCCTCCCTTTCCTTGAAATGCTCTTGCCTCACTACAATGCTTCCGCCTTTACCATTCCAGCCCCAAGTGCGTACCCTAGTCCACGGTGCCCTGTAATCAGGCTACAAGAGACCAGACTAGAAATGCAACAACAAAATCAATCGGCTCATCGTTTTGGCTGCTCTTAAAACCAAAGGCCGACCCCTCTCCCTGGACTTCATAGTAATATGACTCATGGTACAGATAACGTGAGAGTCCTCTCACTCTGGGTTCAGACCTACGACTAAACTGCCATAAGCACGTTTCTACATCCCAAAATCAAAATAGGGAGCTTCTATCCCTGTTTCCACTCTCCCAGGCAATTCTCCTAAGTTAACGTGCCCGATCCCCTTCTTGTTTAGTCATTCCACGTGTTTCACAATGGCAAGGTTCATTCTAAGGTTGACCAATTGCCCCAGTTTTGCCAGGACCGTCCTAGTTTGGGCATGGGAAGCCCATGTCCTGGGAACCCTTCAATCTTGGGCAAACTCACCAGCTGATCACCCTATTCAGAGGAAACACCGTGTTACTTCAAAGGTATTACTCCACCGGGAGAATCATTGGAATGTAATGAACAACAAAGTGACTTACTGCGTCTTAAACCAATAGGGTGGCGGGATGATCAAGGCCTTTACTCACTTGGTTTCTTTTTCCCAGTTTTTCTCCAGTGTGAGGAGTCCCTGGTAGGTTTGGGGGTTTCTCCTGATGCCTGTGGACAACCTTTGAGACACATGGACTTCAGCCCAAGAACAAAAGGTAGTTTGCTGTCACGCTGAAGTTTAAATCCATGCTTAAAAAGAGATCATTCTTAAGAGGCAGGCATGCCCCATTTTCTTTGCTCTCACAGAGCATTATGGCTCCACAGTGTCTTAGTTTCTCAAAAATCACCATTTTCAGGTGATATGAGATGTACATGAACCTAACTTTCCCTGGAGTTTCCCAGAATAAAAGTCGCTGCCCCTTGAAAAATTGACGATGCAACAAAGCCTTGAAATCACAATTTCTTTAGCTTTTATTATTGCAGTAAAACATTCCCAGTGTAGTCACGTGGGTCAACTTTGAATCAGGGATGTAGCTCTAGACGCTGCCTTACAAACCTCCAAAAGGGGAAGCTTATCTACAGCATGTGCTCGAGGCATGGAAACTCAGCCCTGGGAAGATGGCAAAGAAAGGCCTCTTTGCCAACTAGCTCCTCGTTGGCTTCCAGGAGTGTGGCAGCAGCTGCTTGTTCCGTTGCCACCTAGGATCCATTTGCCTTGGACTTTCAGTGGGCACACGGCCGCTCAGGACAAAGACCAATTTCCCGCTTCCCTTGCTGTTGGGTATGATTATATACCTAAATTCTGGTGAGTAGCTGCAAGTGCAAGGGTCCTGTGCGATTTTAAAAATGTGACGTTAGGGCCAAAAGACAGGTTTCCAGCTCCCTGGAATGTGGGCACGATGGCTGGAGCTTGAGTAGGTTTAGGTGTCTTGGATCTGAAGTGAAATCCACTGACTGAAGATAGTGGAGCAAAGAGTTAAGGACCAGACCCAGAACAAAAAAATCAGCAATGTGAATGAGAGGGAGTGCGGAGTGGAGACCCAAAGCCCATCTGTAGACAACTGGACATCCCCTTCGAGAAGGGTCACAAGGAAGAGACAAGCTAGTCAGGGTGCAGTATAGCACTGATGAAACATAACAACTTCCTCTAGTTCTTTAATGCTTCTCCCTTCCACAACCTCCCCCCACCAACTTTCATGACCCCAATTCTACCTTACAAATCTGGCTAGACCAGAGCATGTATACTGGTACAGATAAGAGCTCACAACACAGAGAATCCAGGACAGATAAAGCCCTCAGGACCAATAATGAGAGTAGCGATACCAGGAGGAAAATGGGGAAGGTTCAGGGAGAAAGGGGGAACCAATCACCTATAAGCCCCTGGGTGGGGGGACAGACAAAAAAGTGAGTAAAGAGAGACCATCAGTCAGTGTAAGACATGAAAAAAAAATAATTTATAAATTATCAAGGGTTCATGAGGGAGGGAGGATGGGGGATGGAGGAAAAAAATGAGCTGATACCAAGAGCTTAAGTAGAAAGAAAATACTTTGAAAATGATGATGGCAACATATGTACAAATGTGCCTGACACAATGGATGGATGTATGGATTATGATAAGAGGTGTATGAGCCCCCAATAAAAACAAATAACATACACGCACACACAGATTCTGGCCAACAGATAAAATGTGAAATTCTCAAGTATAAATAGATAGTCGAACAAGTTACTGAGAGTTTAGAAATATATTTGCCCACACTTTCTAATGACTTTGGAATGAAAACTAACAGAGCTTAAGGAATTTGAAAATCCTGGGGTAGTCAATTAGAAAGCAACTATTTTTATATCTAAGAAAAAAAGGACTGCACTTACTATGTACTAAAAACGGGTACAAGAGTAAAAGAAGTAAATGACTTCATCTAACATATATCCTACCCAGCCTCAGGGGGATGAATAACAAATGTGGGTGAAGAGAGACAACAGCCAGTGTTAAGACATGAAATAGCAACAACAATATGAAATTGATCAAGGATTCATGAGGGTGGGAGGGGGGGGAGAAAAGAGTTGATACCAAGGATTCAAGTAGAAAGAAAATGTTTTGGAAATGTTGATGGCAACATATATACAAATGTGCTTCATACAATTGAATGATGGATTGTCAAAAGATTTGTAGGAGCCCCCCAATAAAGTGATTTAAAAAAAAGTTAAGGACCCTGGTGGCGGGCCTACGCCATCTGTTAACCCCCCACCTTCCTTGTTATTGTTGAATTGATGCTTACAAAGAGCAACTCCCTGGGTGTGGACTAGTTGATGGTTTTCTTTTCTTTTTTGTGTGTGACGGTTTTCAATGCTCTTTCCTTTCAGAAACGGATGGCCAGGCTTGTCCGCAAGGGGCTTCCGCATTAGTTCATTGAACTGCCCACCTTTTGGCTTAATAATGGAATACTTAACTCAGCGGTTCTCAATCTGTGGGTCGCGACCCCTTTGAGAGTCAAACCACCCTTTCCAAGGGGTCGCCGAAGACCACTGGAAAACATATTTCCGATGGTCTTAGGAATTGAGACACCTCTCCTCTAGCCATCTCCAGGCGGGTCCTCCCACATGCAGATACGCCCACATAGGAGTACCCGGCGTGAAGATTGTTACCCATGCGACACCATGCTTCAAGACAAAATTTCATTTATTTGTCATTAAAAATAAATATTTCACAATCTATAATTACATATTGTTTTTGTGATGAGTCACAATGCTTTAATTTGTAACAATGAAATTTGTTCAATTTGCAACAATGAAAATACATCTGCATATCAGATATTTACACGATGATTCATAATAGTAGCAAAATGACAGTGATGAAGTAGCAACGAAAATAATTTTATTGTTGGGGGTCACCACAACATGAGGAGCTGTATTAAAGGGTCACGGCATTAGGAAGGTTGAGAACCACTGACTTAACTGTTTCTGCTATCCCCGGACTCCCTACCTGCCTGAAGTTCCTCTTTTTGTTTATGGGCAGTAAATTTGAATAATAAATAATGCAGTTCTAACTGCGGCAACACCTGGCATGCAGAAAATGGTCAGAAGCAACCCGGATGCTCCACAGTAGCATGTTCTCCTCCACGGATTATCGTGAAACCATTAAAAATAAGTAAGAGCTAATGAAAATAAACAGTATAAACTTCTTTTTATGTTTTAATTTTGAGAAGAATAGCTTTGTTTCATAACTGATGTAAACTTTAGTCGCAGGACTGATACGTGGTGGCAAAGTAAGAATCGCAGTCTCTGCGTGATCAGATGGGACCAGTCCCTGGAGAAGGACCGGTAACGAGTAGGGGCAGCGACCAAGATACAGGCCCTTCATGAGCTGGATGGGCACGGTGGCTGCAGCCATCGTCTCAAACAGAAGAACCACTGTGAGGCTGGTGCAGGGCTGGGGGGTGGTTCGTTCTGTTGCCCACAGGGCATGTGGGCAGTTCCATGTGTTGGAACTGACAACAAAGACAGCCCCTGGCAACAAGAGTCCCCTCAGCGATGGGAAACAGCCCTTTATTTAGCTGTTTTTCACTGTATATCAGAGTTAGAGCAAAGAAGAAATTCTTTAAGTGTAATCAAGCATCACCCCCGGTGTAACATCTTCATCTCTTTTCAACATTCCCTCTAGGAGGTCACAGTCCCCACGATGTCATATCACGTATCCCACTTCCTCCTGTGTTTCCTATTGTTACTCCTTGGAACTAACCATTCTCAGCTTTGCCCTTGGGCCAATGTATTCCTTTTGATCGCAAAGGACTGATTATTCTGATGCAAGTGTTCCTCCTTTGTGGGATTATTCCCCTTATAAACTTGTCTACTGTTTGGCTTGAATGAAATGTTTAAAAATGATATATTCTGGATATTCTCAAGGACTTCCCAAGAACATGAACAACAAAAGACCAGTGTCTTGTCTCTCTGTAGTGTGTTACGGATACTGGTCTTATCCTTTGATGATGCGTTATTATGATTTTTTAAATTTATGTCTTTGATTATGCCTTATCTTCATGGGTTATCCCTTCAGCATCTGCACTGACGAAAAGGAGGTTGTTTTGGGAGGTGCTGTCAGGTCAGTTGCCATCCACAGCGGCCTGGTGCACAACAGAAGGAAACACTGCACGGTTCTGTGCCATCCTCACAATGGTTCGTGTGCCGAGCCTCTGGATACAGCCACCTGCCAACTCATCTTGTTGACGAGCTGCTTTGTCACTGCCCCTCCACTTGACCCAGTCTAACGCCTTCCTCTGGGGACTGGTGTCCCCTGACAGTATGTCCAAAGTATGTAAGACTAAGATGAAGGCTTGTCCTTCTTGCCTCTAAGGAGCACTCCGGCCATACTACCTCCAAGACAGATCAGTTTGTCCATTTAGCAGTTCAGGGCACTTTCAATGAATTATAAATGAAATTAATGCTATAATCATGTGTTCTTTTTATTATTATTATTATTATTTTTTAATCATGTGTTCTTTCACTTTCTTTAAATGATAAATTATTAAGGTCGGGCACTAATTTATTTCCTTTTTATATTCTTCTTTTTTTAATTTATTTATACACCGGGGCACTTTATTGCACTTGCTGATAGATGGAGATACATGCACAAACTGCTATCGACAGGAGTGGGGGTAGGCAGGCCAGGGGTCAGGTGGTCCAGCAGGGCTGGGTCAGAGGGTTCGGGACACAGCACGGTGCAGCCACTAGCGGCCTTGCTGGCCCATCATCTGTGACAGGGCTTGGAAGCTCATCGCTGTGCCCAGGGCGAGAAGAATGATGAAAATGAGGACTCCCAGGAGGTCGAGGACTGTAGAGAAGATGTTCAGGTAATTAGCCCCGATCATGTCGCCCACCATCTTCTGGTCCCTGGACTTCACGGAGTAGGCATAGGCCACGCAGCCCAGGCAGCAGCAGTTGAGGAAGAGCGTGTTGAAGAGGGACCAGATGACATGGTTGGGCATGTGGGGCTCACACTGGATGCTGGTCACGGTGGACTGCGTGGAGGCAGCATGGCATGGGGTCTGCAGCCCACCTATCTTGAGCTCCTCTTGAGCCATCTCCTGGGTGTGAGGGCTCTGTGGCCTGCGGGATGGGAGAGCCCTTTGCATATTCTTTTCAGTCTCCTCTCTCCTTAGGAGGAGCTAGGGAGGACTGTGTTACACTCACGCTTGGTAATCCCTATTTGTGCCGAGCTCAGCATATTCGTTTGTGTCTTACAAGTTTTCATAAAGAAGTCTTTGTGGTAAAGGGACCCAGAATCACCCTATACTTGGTACCTCAATGCCCCCCTCTAAGTGACATGACATTTTGATCTATTGGGCATGGATCTACATTCGGAAAATTGATCCATGATGGTTCCTCCTGACACCAATCCCCATACTTAGGGTCAACAGCTTTCAATCAAATGGGAGATGGAACACTGCTCACTGCTCAAGGTGCAACTGTACTTGCAAAGACTCCTCACACCATACGGACAGTGTCCAAGCATTGTGTCATTGGGCAGATTGATGATGTTATCTATCAATGCACTTGCCTTGTGCCCCAGGGGGATGATTGGCAATGTTTTACTCTTCTGTTTCTATGGGTTTTTGTTTTCCTGCCTTTAGCTTGCTTGTTTGTTTGTTTGCTGGTTAGTTTGTTGCTGTTGTGGGTGAAGTTGATCTTGTGGGGTTTGGTTTTGTCATAATACGACTGCCAATGTAAACCTGAGACGTGCAAACCCCATGGACAAGCAGATGGATTCTGGGCTCCCACTTAACTCTATTCCCAATCCATGGCCCTCCATGAAATGATCACTGAAGACAAGGGTGCTACATCAAAGTGTGGTGAAGAAAACAGATGGTGCCCAGCTATCAATCAGAATAGTGTCTCGGGTCTTAAAGGCTTGTATTCAAACAAGCAGCCATCTAAGTGAGGCATCAACTAAATCCACATCAAAGAAGCACACCAGTTTATGTAATCCAAAAACAACAGTAACAAAATTCAAATATGACTAAAGGAAAAGTATCAGAGCCTAAATTTGTAGAAGGCTGTGGAGGGCAGTGGAAGCTCAAAACCCATCTGCAGAGTATCTAGTCAGCTTAAGCCACTGGCAGACCCCCTCTAGACACAGGCAAGGGTCTTGCACAGTCTTATTATCAGAGATAATTGTAATCTTGATTATGCTGGATGGAACTTGATATTTGTTCAGTTGACCTCCCTCTTGACCCAACCCGAATTTGTTCTAGGCTCAAGTATTTATTTTTTGTTCCCTGATAAAAAATTTTCCTTGTCTTTTAAAATATTGATGGTGGTCTTTTCTTTCTTCCTCATTATTTATATTTTTATCTTTACATTATTATTATTCTATCTTTTCCACTTTATTTCATTAAAAAATACTTTTATCGAGGGCTCTTACATCTCTTATCACAATCCATACCTTCATCCAGTGTGTCAAGCACATTTGCACATATGCCGCTATCTTCATTTTCTTTTTGTGTGTGTGTAGAGTGACAGAGCACTCAGCTCGTTGCCCCACCGATAAGCTTCCCTCCGCCCTACACATCATCATTTTCAAAGCATTGTCTTCCCACTGGCGCTCCTGATATCAGCTCCCCATTGCTTCCCTTCCCTCCCCCATCTGCCCTCCCTCATGAACCCTTGATCAGTTAAAGATGATTATTTCCACATCTTAACATCGTCCTCCATTGCCCCTCACCCACTTTTCCATTATTCCTCCCCCTGGGAGAGGGTTCTAGATTGATCCTTGTGATTGATTCCCCTTTTCTCCCTCTACCCTCCCGCATTTAAAAAAAATTGTTTCTCTTGAGTTTTCCAGTTTGTGAAGCACAGATGTAGTGGATACATAGAGACCATAACTGATACATGGGCTTAGTAGGGGAGGAGAGGTGAGGGCTGGGAGATAGGGAGGGTGAGAGGATTTCAGGAGCAAACGATAAATGTGGGAGTGGGGAGGGAGTACTAGAACTGATTGGGATTACTCAAATCTTTTTTTTTTTAATCATTTTATTAGGGGCTCTTACAGCTTTTTTCCCCCAGTTTTTTTAATTAATCATTTTATTAGGGGCTCGTACAACTCTTATCACAATCCATACTTACATCAATTGTGTCAAGCACATTTGTACATATTTTGCCATCATCATTCTCAAAACTTTTTCTTTCTACTTGAGCCCTTGGTATCAGCTCATTTTCCCCTCCCCCACCCTCAAGAACCCTTCATAATACATAAATTATTATTTTTTTCATGTCTTACACTGACCACTGTCTCGCTTCACTCACTTTTCTGCTGTCTGTCACTCTGGGAGGGAGTTATATGTCGATCATTGTGATTAGTTCCCCCTCAGGCCCCCCACCACCACCCCACATACACTCTCCCTTTACTCTCCTGGTATCACTACTCTCGTTTATTGATCCTGAGGGGTTTTCTGACAAAAATTTTTTTTAATCATTTTATTGGGGGCTCGTACAACTCTTATCACAATCTATATATCCATTCATTGTGTCAAGCACATTTGTACATTTGTTGCCACCATCATTCTCAAAACATTTGCTTTCTACTTGAGCCCTTGGTATCAGCTCATTTTTCCCCTCCCTCCGTGCTCCCCCTCCCTCATGAACCCTTGATAATTTATAAATTATTATTTTGTCATGTTTTACACTGTCCAACATCTCCCTTCACCCACCGTTCTGTTGTCCGTCCCCCAGGGAGGAGGTTATATGTAGATCCTGTGATTAGTTCCCGCTTTCTACCCCACCTTCCCTATATGGCTGCTCTCACCCCTGGTCCTGAAGGGGTCATCTGTCCTGGATTACCTGTGTTTCCAGTTCCTATCTGTACCAGTGTACATCCTCTGTTCTAGCCAAATTTGTAAGGTAGAATTGGGATCATGATAGTGGGGGGGGGGAGCATTTAGGAACTAGAGGAAAGTTGTATGTTTCATCGTTGCTACACTGCACCCTGACTGGCTTGTCTCCTCCCCATGACCCTTCTGTAAGGGGATGTCCAGTTGCCTACAGATGGGCTTTGGGTCCCCACTTCGCACACCCCCTCATTCACAATGATACGATTTTTTGTTCTTTGATGCCTGATTCCATCCACCCCTCGTGATCCCACAGGCTGGTGTGCTTCTTCCATGTGGGCTTTGTTGCTTCTGAGCTAGATGGATGCTTGTTTATCTTTAAGCCTTTAAGACCCCATATGCTATATCTAATGATAGCCAGGCACCATCAGCTTTCTTCACATTTGCTTATGCACCCACTTTATCTTCAGGGATCCGTATCAGGAAGGTGGGGAAAAAATTTTTAAAAATTGATTGTGGTAATGATTGTACAATTCTTCTCCATATGATTGAACTGTTGAATTGTATGATATATTGATTAGGTGTCAATAAACCTGTAAAAAAAAGGCATTGTGATCATGAAAATGCCAACATCTTTTCAGTTTGTAAACACAGACACTTTTGATCATTATATAAGAGCCACACCAGTGGTTCTATGCTCCCTAGGCACAGGGACTAACTAAATCAAATTTAGATATTTAGAATGAAAGGAAATTTGATCTAAGCATGGGCTTTCCCTTGATTTCAGGTCAAGTACCGCTGTGGATTTCCTCAGTTGCTTCTTGCTATGCTTGTGAATATATATGTTGTGAGTGTATTACCTAATAGCGATGTAATCACCAATGTTAGAGCTGAAGATTTCAGGGCTTATTCATTCACCTCACTGTTCTGAGTAAGAGTCAAAAAGGGTAAAGAAAAGTGATTTGCTCAATTGGGAAAACACTAAGGAGCGGAAGAAGGTAAGTTGACACAAAGTAGTCCACCTGTATAGCTGAACTATACAATTAGACAAATGCTACTGTGCTATGATCTGATCTGCAACACTCGCACCTTCTCAAGAACAACTTTAGAGCTGGAAACATTCTAAACAGTTGGCGGCCGACATAGAAAATGGCAGACGCACAGACTTGTTTACGCTTGGGTTTAGGATCTGTGCTTGTTTATTTATGTCTTGGACAGAAGCCGGACCTTGAGAAGCCGATCTGTGTTTCGGCGCTCGGCGCTAGTGCCTTGAACGATTGCACCGGCTCTTCCGCAGTAATGTCTGGGCGTTCGTGTGTTCGGTGATCTTTTGCGCCGTCTTCTCGCTTGATGTCTCCAGAGCAGTGGCGGCGCCCGGTCTAGGGCTGAGTTACTCGGGAGGCCCTGCACTCAGGCCGCTTTCTTCTGCCGGTCGGTAGAGCGCACTCCTCGCTTCCCTCCTGTCCATTTCTCCCTCCTTTCCGGGGCTTTGTCCGCCCGTTGGACTGCAAACCGAGCCCCCACCCGCCTTGCAGGTAGGCCCGGGAGGAGCCTGGGAGGCCCGGCCCGGCCCGGCATCCTTCGGCCGCGGGGTTGAGGAGACCTTGGCGCCGGCGGGTGGGCGGGCGAACCCGCGGCCGAGACTCGGCCAGAGGAGGGGCTGACGGGGCGCGGCCGGAGGGGCGGCTCGGAACGCCCGGAGAAGCCGGAAGGAGGGAGGGATGCTGGGGCTACCCGGTGCGTTTGGCTTGGGAGGGAATGTTGGACTTGGGGCGGGTGTCGGCGCCCCCTGAGTCTGGGGGGGAAATCGCTTGCCAGGAACTGTGCGCGCTTTGACCCTCCTCCCTTTCTCCTCCTAAGGCTCCGGGTGTCAAGACTCAGTTGCGCCGGGGACCCTCTCTGAGTCCCGCCTTTGAAGGGATCCTCGAGTAGGTGGAGGCGTGTGGAACAAGGCCCTCTGGCTCTCGTGAGCGAAGTGTCGTTTTTTCGCCTTTTTTGGTTGGGGAAACCGAGGCTGAGGTCTGGGACGTGACTCTCCCCCCCATATCTCCTGGAGATCTTTAAAGGCACCGTAAGTCACTTTTTGTCATTTACCAGTTTGCTTTTTTGCCCTCTGCGTTTACCAGTCTATGCACCCCGTGATGGGTCGTGTAATTGTGTTTTCTTCTTCCAAGGAATTCAGTTTCTGCCCTGGTGACTTCAGAAGCAAAGAGACCGTGTGACGTTTTCGCCGGTGTCCCTTTTCTAAGTCTGTGTTACTGTAGCGCAAGTAGCAATGGCATTGTCTTTTTGTGTCTGGAGAGAGCATTGTATATGTTGACCAGTTTGTTTTCTTGTAGATTCTTTTTCTTTCCTCCTCCTCCCTCAGCCTGTTCTTAGTGGAAGTGTTTCAGCTATCGTTTTTGACAGAGGATGGTGTACATTTTTGAATTCGGATGTTTGTTTTTGTGAGGGTTTGCTATCTGAGAAGTATCCAAAGACAAGGGCACGGATTCCTTTTAGAATAGTTCTGCCACGTTTGGCTAGGGGTCACTACAGGTAGAAAGTGTGTGTAGGTTTAATTTGAAAGCAAACATTCTGGAAGCTCTGTTGTTTCTCTCCGAACTTGAGTGATGTGTGCTTACTCACTTTATTTTCAATGAATTTGGTGGTGTGTTCCTGTGATCACAATTTGTGGAACTTTGCTAAAAATAGATACTCAGCCTTGAGGTCAATCTAGGTTGGATACATTTCCATAGTATTTCATGGAGGAGAATGTTTTCAAAGGAGAACAGATTCAATTCCTGGTCCTTGGCTGACCCTGTACACTCAAGTTGATGACCCTGTATAATTTTAGAATACCCGTGGGTTTTGGGAAGTTTTGTTTTCCTCTTCTAATTTTCTGCGTGAGGTCAGCAAGGTTTAAATGAAAGATCCTTGTCCATGAGTGATTTTCTAGTTACTCAGACCTCAGTGCTCACAGAAAAACAGGATTAACAAAGAACCACCAGACTGTATGGAGACTCTAGATGGGAGAGTTCGGCAAAGAATGATGTGTATTCTTGGGGGGGCGGGGGGAGGCCTTTTGGTGTCAGAGGGAAGGGACATTGACCACTAGTGAATGGGGGCCAGAGTGCAGAGTAGTAATTCAGGAGTGCCTGATAGGTGCTAAATAATACACCGGGACTGCTATGAGTGTCACGGAGCAGTATTGGGGACACTTTATGTTATGTTTCTGTAGAAAAGAATTTAAAAGGTTGTATAGAGGAGGGGAGGAGGAGAAGATATTTGCTTGTGGGGGTTATCAGCCTCATACCCCTTTCTTCTGTTTATGACGGGAACCCACTTAGCTTTTAACTTATGAGATCCTATCTTATTTTGTTTTGTCAGATCAGGCACTCTTCTGCGATTTCCTTTCGGAAACATACAGGTTCCTAATATGATTGAGTTATTCTTTCAGTAAGAAATTTCCTGTGGATTCTCAAAGACACTAATTTTTTGAGTATGTTTTAGAATTTGTTCTGGAATGGAGTTATTTGTATCACTTGGAAAAGATTAGTTATATGGAGCATTTGAAAACCATCAGTAATTTTTATTAACAGAATAATAGTATATACTTTCTACTGTTTAATTGTCAACACATTTTTTTTCAGTATGTCTTAGGAGACTTCAACAACAACAAAATCAATTCCATTGAGTACATTCCAACTCATAGAGATTCCATCGGACAGGATAAAACTGCCCCTGTGGGTTTCTGAGGCTGTGATTCGTTATGGCAGTAGAAAGCCTTACGGAACTATTATTCGTTTGACCATGTTCCTGGTTTTGTGACTGCTACTGAGTTTGAGCATTTACGGTGTGCCAGGATCCTTGTGAATGTTGACAGCTAAGGTCGATGGTCTCACTCTGCCCATATTATAGTAGAGCACTTGCCTCTCTTAAAGGAATTGGAGCAAATGTTTTGTTGTCCGCACACCAAGCTCTGTTTTTCCAAGATATGCCTCAGCCCTGATTTATTTTGGAATGGGACACGGATTTTTTTTTTCCTTAGTGGTTTGATTTATAAAAACAAACCAAAAAACAAACAAAACCCCCTGAAGTTCCTTTAATCATAGTCATTCTCCTTTCTTTCTCCAGTTCCTTATAAACCCGAAGAGAACTTTCTGTTTCTTATCATAATTTCTATTTGTACAGAAATTCTATGCTAAAACAAGAAAAAAGAAATTCTATGGTATAACCTGCCTTGTGGTTTTGGGGCAGTTTGTATTTTATCTTTTCAAACCCCTCTCCTGCTCCATGAGAAATAGATCTTTCTTTTTTCCACAAAGCTAAAGTCAGTTTCAGATAAAGAACATTTTTGTGATCAATTTCTGTCAGAAAGTATGAGTCTAGTAGTCAGTGGCAGCCTGCCAATGTGATGTGGTGAAAAGAGATTAAGGAATCAGGAGACCTGAGTTTAAGGCGGAGGCTTACCCATTTGCCAGCTTAGAAATTTTGTGCAAAATGCTTATAGAGACTGTAGGGAAGTAGTTCCTTATTAAGCATTTGCACTGTGTCCCGCCCTTTATATGGGTTATCTCATTGAGTACCCATAACATCTCCCTAGGGGAGACAATGCTTTCTCCCCATGGATCCTGAAGCTAAGAGAGAGGGTACATGATAGGACCCAGTTTGAGTTCACACAGCAGAACAGGGATTCAAAAGTAAAGACTGTTGAACTTCACCTTATTATGGTGCTCTTTTGAGTCCTTATTTAGAGACTAAAGAAGACAACGCTTCTGTGATAATCTGTTAGGGGCCGGGGCGGGGAAAGTATAGGCCTATAAAAGGTGTAGGCATGTTCAAAAGTTATCTTTTGTGCCCTCTTCCAGTAGTAGTTCGTTTACAGGTGGCATCCAGGTTCTTTGACACCTTGCTGTTTTCACGGCAATGTTAAGCAAGACCATCATGCAGGACAGAGGTGAACCAACAGTGAACCAGCACTGCCAGGACTTGCTGATGTGTATGTGGAAAGGAGCAAGTGCTAGGGAAAAAGAAGTGTTGGAGGTGCTGCGGATTTAGATGGGCGAGAGTAAGGATACTTACTCCTCTTTTTCTAGTTAGTCTCGCTTTATGTAACTTTAGCATGTCTTGCTCTGGAGTACCAGGAGAGTACCAAGTGAGTGTGGGCGCTTCAGATTTGCCCTGCAGTCCCTAGACTGATTTCTTGGAAGCAGACGGCCAGCTCTACCAAAAGAAAGACCTGGTGATGCGCCTTTAGGTCACTGCCTATGGTGTGCAGTCCCTCTCTGGCGCACATGGGAAGCCAGGAGACAGTGGACTCGATGGCAGCTTACTCCATTATTTTGGGGTGTACTAGGTATCTCTCACTTCCAGGAGCCCTGGTGGTGTGGTGGGTACACATTGGGCTGTGATCCAAAAGGTCAGCAGTTTAAAACCACCAACCAGTTCTGAGGGAGAAAGCCAGTGCTTTCTACTCCTGTAAACAGTTACAGCTTTACAGCGGCAGTTCTACCCTGACCCCTAGGGTCGCACTGAGTCAGCTCACATGGCAGTGAGCATGGTTTGGGTTTGTTAATTAAATATTTTTTTTTGTTTGGATTTTATTTTTTTTAATAAATCACTTTATTAGGGACTCTTACAACTCATATAACAATCCATACATCAATTGTGTCCAGCACATTTGCCCATATGGTGTCATCATCCTTTTCAAAACATTTTCTTTATACTTGAGCCCTTGGTATCACTTCCTGTTTTCCCCTCCCTCCTCCACCCTTGTTTGGATTGTTTGTATCTCTTCTAACTTGTTTTCTGTCTGTCTGCCCAAAGAGTTGTTAGTTTCCACTTCTCTACACAAACTTTTTCTTTTTTTACTGTTTATTATTCTTGCCCTTTGCTTTTTCCCCTGTCCTTCTCGAAAGACTTTATCTAGCAGGTATTTATTGACTACTCATTAGATGCTGGATGTAAAGGTAGACCTCATGAAGTATATTCCAGTGGGGACCGGGTTTCTGATAAATAGATACATAATAATGAAATAATAAAATAACAAGCAGACAAGCAAACTTTAGGCTGAAATAAGTGCTCTGAAATAAACAGACAAGAGCCGACAGGGAGGGATGAAGGAGCAAGAAGTGGGCCTAGTGTTGGCCGGGCTTGGAGTCTTGAATGTTGACATTTGTAATCCACCTACAAAACCCGAAAGCGCTATATACCCTGATTCAGGAAATGAAAGTCCTCCTGCTGCTCTCATAATGGAATTGTGTTTCAGATGACTACATGTAACCTTTGCCTATCATCTAAAGCATTGGTTTTAACATTGGATAACCATCCAGCATGCTTGACCAGAGAGTTTAATATTTTCCTTCTAATGTGCCTTAATTTAATGCGTTCTCATTTAATATTATTTTTTTCCCCATATTAAGCTGTTGTTTGAAAGAGAAGTTCAATGAGTTTGAATGTTGGGATACATGCATTCAGGTGAATTTGTGGCAAGCGATAGATAGAAGTACTTAGCCTTAAAAAATGGGTAGACTTGATTGGGGAAGAGAGAGACTGTTCAATAAAGATGGCCCAGGAGCAAAAGCTGACGACTAGAACGTTCCTTCAGAGTTGACAGGGAAAGATTTCTTCCGGAGCTTGTACTCTGAATTTGGACTCTGTTCTCCTATGTAGTAAGAAAATAAGTTTCTGTCTGTTAAAGAACCCCTCCTACCCCCACCTTGAAAAAGAAAGATAGGCAAACTGTTGAAATTGAAAGGAAAGTTGTAGGCTCGGTAAAGTCAGTCAGTGAAAAAGAGGAAATTATTTCCCTCCAGGAGATAAATTGACCCAGTAGCTGCAACAATGGGCTCAAACATAACAATAATCCTGAGGCTGGCGCAGGCCCAGGCAGTGAGTGACTGGTTCTGTTGTATATAGGGTTGCCGAGCGCGTCAGAAACGCCTCAGTGGCACCTAGCAACAGGAGAACCTGAAGCACTTGCAGTCGACGCTCAAAGATTGCAGCCTTCAGTATGGATTACAACTCAAAGTAATGACGATCATCTTCACAACTGGACCAATAGGTCCATCATGATAGATGGAGAGAAAG